GAGAGAGAGAGAGAGAGAGAGAGCAAGGAATTAATTTTATGATTTTCTAAAATAAAGTGGTTTCAAACAATCTTTATGAGCTGACAGTGTGAAAACTAGCTGTGGTTGAAGGTTGACGCTATTGAGACTTTTGATCAGTATCTCATAAAGAATATTTTCGCATAGGTTATTTCTATTTTAACCGGGGCCACTTTTCCATATGATTAGTGCGTGGTCCTTTTATGATGTATTCATAATAACCGCTTACTTACAATTAGTACGATGCACAATTGTCTATTTAAGCTCTGCTATGTTACTATACGATTTGATCAGATTCTATTATAAAAATGGAGCAAAAAATAAAAATTTTGACAAAAATAAGATTATATAACTTTTTGAATCTGAATAATATGATGAACAAAAATAACATTACATAACTTTTGGAATTTCATTAATATGATGAAAAATTAGGTAGCATGTAATATCGTTTACATAACAATTTTTCGCAAAAAACTGGATTTTTGTTTTGTTCCAACAATTATAGTAAAAAAAAGTATTTTTTAAAACTATAATTTTGGCTGAGATATTATTTTTCGCAATAAAAATTTTTTTACAGTATTTTTACACGCATTAGGAGAAGGGAAGAATCTTATAAGATGCTTCTAAGCATCAGTATTATTCAAGTGATTATCAATTTAATACTGTGATATTATTATTCTAGTTTAATTAAGAACTACTAGTCGAGACCGAAAGTAACAGTGTGCAGTTTGTAGAACTAGATGTATATAAAATCACAAAATTTTAATGAGCATCAGATTTTGTGTATGTATGTGTGTATGCGCGCGCGCGGAGCGTGTGCGTATATGAACGCATGTACGCGTATACGCCCATGTATGTACATACAGGCATGTGGACATATGTATGTACATGTGCATGTGCGTTTGTATATGCGTGTTCTAATCTTCTAATAAGCAGTAAATTATATGAATTCCAAGGCAGATTTAGTCTACAGGTAGCCAAATTTAAAATATGAATATTTATGAAAAAAAGAAGGGTCCGTTTTTTAGAAACATTTTATTATTGTAAGAACTATTGATATCAGCTGACAATAACTTAAATAATGGACATAATTGAATATCTTTTTATTCTGTATAAAAAATTGTATAACCATTTTGAAAAGCAATTATATGTTTTTTCTTACATTAATTGATTTTTTTGTACATGAAAATATTAATGTACAATTATCAAAAAGTAGTTTACGAGATATTTTATATTTTCTGTCAAAATGTATTAGAATCAAATATACTGTTTAAAAAATTATGGCATAGAAAAATTTTCGGTAAAAATTGGTCAACTCTGGCTGATAATAACTCCGCGAAAAATCATCGTAGGATGAACTTTTTTTCAAATTAAAGCTTAAAATCTCTACTTTAAGGTACTATAAGTCGATTTTAAATTTAATGCATCGCTGCTACTGTAAACTCTTAAATCTGAGAAGTTGCCATACTAAAAATTGTAAAGTTTAATGAAATGCATGGACTTGCTAAAATTTTTGTCAAGAATGCTGTTTGTAGCGTTATAAAGTTTGAATCTTTCTTTTTAATTAAAAAAAGCAAGTTGTTACAATTTTTTACCACAAAGTTGCAAAGCACATTTTTTTTAATTTAAAAATTCAAATGACCTGAAATTGAAAATTAAAGCCAATCCTTTAAAATGTTTATTAAAAAATGAGCCGCGATTTTTTTTGCCATTTTATTGCATTGTGAAAAATTTTCCATAAAAATGTCGAATATGCTACTGGCATTATGGCTATATTTTAAGGAGGTTCTCCAGCCTTTTCACATAATATAAAAACTTGATCAAATTTTGAGAATAAAAGAGGGTATTACTTTTAGGCGTTTTTGGTACCACATGGAGATTATTGTTTCTATATTTTTTAATGTATTTTTCTTCTTAGAAACCGAAAATTATCATAATAACGCCAGACTTAAGGAAAAGTTGGTACATTGGAAAGAATGATACGAGATATTATTGTGATGATCTTAGTACGTTACGGATGATTATAGTACAATCAGTATGAAAATGGGATATTCGCATTTTATCATGTTGTTCGGGCATTAGCATAATCCAAGCCGGCGGCACATTCGACATTTTTACGAATTCACAATGCAATAAAATGGCAAAAGAAATCGCGGCTCTTTTAATAAACATTTTAAAGGACTGGTTTTAATTTTCAACTTTCGTATTTTCCATAAAAATATCGAATGTGTCGCCGGCTTGGGTTATGATAATGCCAGCGGCACATTCGACATTTTTACGGAAAATTTTTCACAATGTAATAAAATTACGAAAAAAATCGCGGCTTATTTTTTAATAAACATTTCAAAGAGTTGACTTTAATTTTCAATTTCAGGTTAATTTGAATTTTTGAATTAAAAAAAAATTTACAACTTCGGAGAGTCGACAAGACTTTGCAAATTTTTCGAAGTTCAAATCTTTAAATTTCAACATACTTTGTTTCTTAGTGCAAAAACATCTTCGAGAAATTCATTTAGGAAAATTGAAAGACTTCGCCCTTTAGAATGAGTCCAGGAAGATTGTTTTATGATTTTATTTCACGAAGTTACCATAGCTCAAATATCGAAGATTTTTCAGCAATAACTTACGTAGTAAGAATTCAGCAAAATTAGCAACAGCAAAATTAAAGATCCCCTATTCTATTCTCCAAAGGAGAGTGTAATATTATAAAAAAATGATAAATTACAATAAAATTTTTCAAAAGCATTTTACAATTTATTGGTAGTCCTTTTATATCGACTTTAAAGAATGTTTTACTGACCTTTTACGAAGTTATACGGAAATAAAAATGCGACAAACTTTGTTACAAATTTTGCAAGGCTTTTCGATATGAATTAAAAATCGCACACAAATGTGGTTTACAGCATTTGAAAGCGTCTTTACCTTTAATTTGCACACTCGTTGAGCATTATGCGATTTTTTTCACTGAGTTGTTCAAGTAAAAAAGACCATTTTTGCTTTAGTATTGAATAACTCGGTAAAAAAAATCACACGCTCATCAAGTGCGCAAATTAAAAATAAAGATTCACGCTTTCAAACTTATAAGTCGTATTAGTATGCGATTTTTAATTCACGCCATGGAACTTCGCAAAATTAGTAAAAAGTTTTTAGATTTGATGCATCTCCATTTACATCCGTGTAGCTTCGTAAACAATCAGTAAGTCGTTTAATGAATTATGAATTTCAAAAGTAGAGACTTTAAGCTGTAAAATGCATTTTGGAATATTTTAATACGATCATTTTTTATAAAGTTACACTCTCTTGAAATTTTCCTATTTTTAGAGATCATAACAGGTGATGCTACGGGCATTTTCTGATATTGCAAAAACGTTAGGATATAGTATTTGCATTAAAATTTATTTCTTAGAAAATCAATTTTTAAAAAATCGTATTGATTTTATTATTTGTTCCTCCTTCAAACCACAACTTTTATCTAGAACATTTTTTTATAAAAGTGAAAACAAAGACAATTTTGAAGGATGATCGATTAAATTCAAATTTTTTGTACGTGTATACGTGCGTCCGTTTTTAATTATACATGTATATATAAATAAATATAAATTAATATAATTTTATTAAATTTAATTTAATTTAAAAAAAGCATTAACATTTTTTTGTGTCGACAATAATAAACATTATGTATAATTACCTTTATTTTCTCTCAAAAAAGCAAGTAACATATAAGAAATTTATAATATGTTGTAATATCATATAGTCTTATTTAAAATATTTAATTTTTATTTTTAATATTTGTTTGTAGGTACCACCACAAATTTCAGTGACAGATGTTCTTGGAGGACAAGTGACGTTAATTAGTGGCTCGCCTTCTCCGTCTCCATCACCAGATTCACTCGAAGATGCATTACCTCATTACAACACTCTTCCGAGTTTTATTATTTCAGAGCCATGTGATCCTTCAAGACCTAGTATAACACGTGGTATCGGTAGACCTCATAATACGATACCTACCGAAGTCGAGGTTCCTTTATCTGATGAATCAAGCAGGTTAAATTCTGAAACTATATTAGGTCGTGTTAAACAAATAATAGATGCAAGAGCGCCACCAAAAGGTTTTATATTTTCAAGAGAGGAAGTGGAAGGTAGTGGGCTTAGTTTAGAATATCCGGGTGGTGTACAAATTGAACTTAGGGTTTGTGAATCAGAAGAAAGAGAAGCGAAAGGAATAAAAATGCGTAGGATTAGTGGGGACCAATTGCAATATAGTCAACTTTGTCAGCAATTGATTTCATGTATTACTGTTTGACGACAACCAGCATATAATATAATATGTTTTTATACATTATATTACATTCCTAGTGTAACATACACTATTCATCACAGTATTGTACACGCTGCATATACACAAATGGTATTTTAAAATTATCATCTTTTATATATATATAAATTATATATATATATATATATACTATATATATATATATATATATAATAACATTATTGTTATTATATTCATGTAACATTCAATGTATTATACGTTTTTAGTGTTTGTTTCAAAAGATAATTGTTTTATTTATAATATAAAATTGTAAATAGGAGATATATTAGTTATATAGTCATATCTTTTGTGAAACATAAAAATATACATGTTCAATAATTCCGAAAAATAGTTTATTTTCTTTATTTTTTAACTGCAGTATATATTATATAAACTCATCAAATATTGAAAATTGTTTCTAAAATGTATAGGAATTGATATATAATAGCACTCATCATTGATTCATCTTACATACATCTATTTGCATTAATTCAATATACATGTACATTGAGTGCTATTTATTTTTTCTATTTTGTAATATTTCTCTTTACCAAATATATTTTTAATATTAGAGACGTATAAACAAAATTTCAAGTTTTTTATTTGTATTATTTAATTATTTGTTAACTTAATTATATAAGAAAATAAGAAACGAGAATATTATAATTGTACTATATAAATATAAACCAACAGTTCTCTTTCTTTGTGCCACATACAATTTATAAACAGATCTATACAACATAAAATTATCTTATTGTAAATAATTCTGGCAAAATGTTATTTACGTTAAACAAAAATGAATGATAATAATATACATATACATATATTGAAATGCATTGTGTATAGATTACAGTGAAAATGTAAAATTCAGTGATTGTATATACTTACTAGTAAATATTTCTATTAACATTTTAAAGAAGATACAGAATAAAAATGTACATGTTTATTATTACTAGTAATTATATATACTTACTAAAACAAAAATTAATTAAATATACTGATATAAATTCTTTGCGAATTATAAATCTTGTTAACAAATGGTATATTAATCGAATTGCAATGTGATATTTTTTATTTAATTGAAAGGAGAAAAGCGGTTCTTCTTTAAATATTTAAACTATTTAGCAATGGTTTTTTCCACGAAGAAGGAATTTAAATATTTATAATTTAATTAGTTAACGAGAGATTTAATGGACATGATAGATAAATTTTTGTATCCATTAATGCAAAAATTATTTTAATGTAAAATTATTAATGCAGAAAAATATTGTACAAAATGTAAACAAGTACATGATTATATATAAGTGCTTATATCTATCAATAGAGACATATTATATTGCGCTCCCAATACTTAACTTTATATTTCAACAATAATAGTTACCAAATTAATTACATTATAAGATGTTATTAGTAACATTAAGATTTATCTACTTTGTCATCCATTAAATTCATTATACCTCTCATTAACAGATTATTATTTTATTAAACATTTAGATAATTTCTTGATATAAAAGATATTAAAAATGAAGCAACAGTCAAAACCATCTTTGAAGAATTTTAGAAATTCAGATTTCTATAGCGATAATATAAATGCACTTGTATCATGTTCGAAAAAAGTGTATCTATTGATGCTTATATTGATTAATAAAATTTATTTTAAGCAAAGTTTACAGTTTCAAATATTTATTATATATTTTTTTATATGAAATCTAATAAGATAATTTATTTTAAACTAAACAAAAAGAATTTTTTAATAAAATTTTTGTTATTTAATAAAATAATTTATATTTTTTGCATCATAGTAAACTATAATAGCACTTTGGATTGTGTACTTTTTGTACACATTTTTGCTAAATTAAAATGGCAAGTGCATTTGCTAGTTTTCTCATCTTTTTATTGGAAAAGATAATGCATAAATACTAATAAGGGTAAACAATTACTGATTTTTTACTTTTACTGTAATATACATAACACATTTAAACGAATGGAAAATATAATACAAAGAAATATTAACAAATGACTAGGAACATTATTTGTTGAACTCGTTTGAAAACTGTATGTGCAATGATTTTTCAATGATATAAAAGCAGTGTGTTGTTTGTGTTCTTAAAATGAAAGCATAAATAAATTTTTTGTTTTATATTATGAATATCGATCTACATTATTCTTATATATTTTCCATTTCTCGAGATTTCAAATGTTTTTAAATATTATACATGGTAAACTATTTAATGCATTACTTTTTTTACTATTTATTATATATAATTACATATAGGTATTTATATATAATTCTTTGTCATTTAGTTTATCAAATGTAGCACAATGAAAGATGGAGTAGCAATAGGAGAAAAAAGAAGGCAGGGAGAGAGAGAGAGAGAGAGAGAGAGAGAGAGAGAGAGAGAGAGAGAGAGAGAGAGTGGTTTTATAATTAACATATTTAAATACAATATAATTTTGATATCATGCATTTCATTTTCTCCAAATTTTTCAAAATATTCTTATTTTTTAAGAATAATAATAAACTACTTTTATAAATAAAATATTGTACATATATAAACAAAGATAGTTCTCTTATATGTAAACGCGCGCACTTATATATACATATATATACATATATATTTATATACAGTATACATGCACGCACACGTATATGCATACATATACATACACCTCCTTCTCCTCTCCCTCCTCCCCCCACGTACACACACACCACCGGAAAAAATAAAATTTGCATATGGTTTCTTATGCCAAAAAGTACAACGAAATGATGCAATGTTAGTGCAATAAAGATATTTGTCATCTTTTTGATGCGCAAGAAACCATGTATGATAATAAATTTTATTTTTTTTAAACATTTCCTAAGATGTCACACTTTCTACCTAGTCCCATTTTAAAGATAATAAGGAATTGAAAGATACTCGAGAAATTTACAACATTTTATATATGTAATTTGTAATTCCTTGTGGGTTAAAAACTAAAAATATTAAAATACATATTTTTTTGTAGAAATTATAATTAAAAATTTGCTTATTTAAAAGCAATTTAAAAGTAGCTTATTTAAAATTTATTTATTTTAAGCTTAAAGTGTGATTAATCTACTTTAAAAAGATTGAATCGAGTTCTATATCATAAACCATTTAGAAGTTGAAATGTTCTAAAAGTATCGATTTTGAAGAATTTGCGTAAATTTAAAAATTTGATATCTCAAAAAGCATTATGATTGAAGCATTGAACTTAACATAAGTACAATCTTAATATTACATATATGAAAAAATATTTTTTTATTTGCTATTTAATTTGATATGAAATCATTATATTTAATACAAGCGTACGTTGCGTTTTATTACATTTATGAGATAGCAATATGATTTCATTATTTACAAATTATAAATATTATTTCTTAATACGATAGCATGCATACATTGAGTATGTGTATGTATATAATATATTGTTTATAAAGTCGCAGTTATGAATTTGTAAAAAGGAGTGAAAAAAACAACATTATTTGTATAATGGAACAAAACTTGGAGTTTCATGAATATGACTGACATAAATTTTTTATCATAAGGTTTCTTCCTAAGTTACGTTATATATATAACAGATAATAAAAGAACCCAGTAAACAATTTGGTAACAAATTGTCGCCAAATTGGTATCAAATTTACGTAAAATTTGTCGATAAATTTCATGACATCTGTGTCCGCAATAGGTTCGTGATTTGTCAGCAAATATTGGCGACAAAACTTGAGGCTAAATTGATGTCAAATATCAAGCAAATCTTGGCGTCAAAACCTGATGCCAATTCACACCAAATATCGACCAAACCTTGTCGTTACGTACCCAATGAGAACAGGTACGTGGATCGATGTTCATATCACGTCGATTATCCAAGTGAAACCCACGATTATAACAAATGAGTGAACTATCCACTTAAAAACGGTACTAGAATCCACGTGAAAATCCAATCGACATTTCGAATCAAGCGACGCGGTAGCGGCGCGACGCCAAGTACCTAGAAATCTGCGTGTTACTTCATTGCGCAAATGTTGTGACGCTGCCATAGCTTTATCTGGAATTCTTATGTCAAACATACTTTCAATTCAAATATCTCAGAAATTATAACAGCAATACAAGATCTAGCGACATTTTCTGATATAA